CACATGGTAGAAAAACACTAGAGCACTTCCCGAATTTAGGGCAATTTTCTTTCATCAAATTTTTCTTCAACTTTTCCAATTAAATTTACACTAATCGCATTTGATCGCGTAAAGGGCTTACTATTCGACAACATCGCACATATATTTTTAATTAGGTAGTCAAATACCAGTGGTTTCCGGTACCTCCGGTGGGTGACAATTTTCTGTCTTGATGATCAACAAGTATGTTGACAATAGCAGTTTTTATTTCCCGGAGATTTTCAGGGCTGTTCTGTAGTTACGGGAAATTTTCCCCACTTACGCTCCTAATCGTACAAACTACTTATGTATTTGTCACTCTTTTCATCACTTCCTTGTATGGCTCATATGTTTCCTCATCTATATTGAAAAAGTATAATGCATTTTCATTATGTATTGAAAATGTGGATGCTTTTCCACCGGATATCCCCCTCCCACCCCACCGTTCGTTCCTCTACGCCGCGCCGGTGTAATGCGGCGATGCGCAACCCTGCCCTGCGCGCGCGCTCAGCGGTCGGCCGGCCGCGGCGCGCCCCGCGGGTCCATGGCCTCACGTCGTTATTGGGCCGTTTGTGACCTTACGCTTCAAGATACGCCAAAACGGACGAAATTTCTGCCCAAAGGGCCGTAACTTGCAATTTTCCTTCGGAATTGATATGTCGCTTGCCAAAATTTTTGGATTTTGGATTTAGGCCCTTTAGGCCCTTTGAGGCACGGGTTAAAATTTTTTCCTTTTAGGGGGTTAATTTAGAGACTACATAGAAACTTTTTAGGGGTTGACCAACTTGATTTTCGCAAAACTCAAAAATAAGCTACACCCTAGAGTCAGGACTGTGGATCCAATGTGTTTTTTTTTTTTTCCAGTGTTGTTTCCATAAGAATCCGTAAGATGATAAAGTCTACGCTTTGGTCGCGGAGAACCCTAATAATGACACTCGTAATTCTTACGGGTTCACTGGAAAAAAAAAAAAAAAAAANAAAAAAAAAAAAAAAAAAAAAAAAAAAAAAAAAAAAAAAAAAAAACATTGAATCTAGAGTCCAGACTCTTGAAAACATCGACAAGAAAAAATACTCTTGATTCAATCGGACTTTTGCTTAAATTAAGAACCAAGCCTCTTAATTTGAGCGTACTTTCTTTTGATTTAAGCATAAATCTGATTGAATGAAGAGTTTTTTTTTCTTGTCAATGCTTTCAAGAGTCTGGACTCTAGATCCAATGTGGTTTTTTTTTCCAGTGTTGTTTCCATAAAGATCCGTAAGATGATGAAGTCCACGCTTTGGTCGCGGAGAACCCAAATAATGAACTCATTTTCTTCCCTGTTTGGTTTCAGGTGACCAATGATGTTGGGAGAATGACCCGAGGAGGGCGCAGATGGGCTTTGCTGCTGATTGCTATGTGCCTCTGCCTCATGATGTTCTACAAACTTCAACCCTGTGCCTACGACAGAAACACCACCCTCATGATGCCCAGAGAGGTAAATACGACCACTCTAAATTTGTTTGTTTGTTTTTTTTTTACCATTGCCTCCAGAAGAGTGGGATACTTTCCATTTCATCACGGAAAAAATTAAATTGCTGCTTTTACAATTTGCTAAAAAAAGTGACTACAATGTTTCAACGTAGATTTTACAACAAAAAAATGCTACTTTAACCATTATTGTAAGCTAATTCAACCATGGAGGTGGTTAAAGTAGCAGTTTTTTATTGTAAAATCTAGATTGAAACACTGCAGTCACTTTTTTTAGCAATTGAATTATTGTTAAATCAGCAATTGAATTTTTTCCGTGCACGAAAACATCCCTGCTCTCAGGGCAAGGCCGTGTCGCTTACGCAGCCCTTGAATCACCACTATTATAAAAATGATTAGAACCAACACAACATAAAGGTAGAGCGAGGGAAAGGTCGCGCGTTGACGACGGCGCAAAGATACAACTATTCGTGCTTGATGGATGTCCGTGTTGCGTCTGCAAAATTGAAGGCGCGATTGCGCGAGGCGTTAACTTGCAGTGCTCCGCTCTATGTCGCCAATTAGAGCGTTGCTCTAATTCGGGAGGAAAGTTAAAAAAGGAGGCCCAATTCCGTCTCTGCTATCTTTGGCTGTGTTGAAACTCTGTTTTATTTCATTTTTTTTCAATTTGATGTCTGATTCTTTAGCTTTAAGATGTATTCGTGGACCGATATCTGAAGCTCGTATGTAGCGGCACCATAACTCTCCTACACGGAGAAAAAAACCTCGTGCGTGGGACCCGAAGTTTAGGTCATATGGATCTCTGAAGTTTTCAGATTGAGCATCTGAACACTTAATATAAGGTCTAGCTGTCGAGTTTCGGATCACAAATCTGAAACCTCAGTTCTTACATCTGAAGTACTTCAGATGTAAGAACTGAAGGTTCAGATGTGTGATCCAAACCTCGACAGCTAGACCTCAAGTGTTTAGATTCTCAATCCGAAAACTTCAGAGATCCATATGACCTAAACTTCGGGTCCCACGCACGAAGTTTTTTTCTCCGTGTAGAGAAGTCTGTCGGGTCAATTTGACCTGGGTTGAATTTCTAGGGGTAATAGTCGAAAAAGCGGCAGTCTTTAGCACACACGTGGGTTGAGGACTCATGTAGTTGTCTGACACCTTCACCACCCCCCCCCCCCNCCCACAAACTTCCAACATGTGCTGTCATTCTCGTCCTCCACTTCGTCAGTATAATTCGTAAGATTCACTAACTACATTCGAATGTAAAGAATAATCCACAAATTTGATCTGTAAAGTACGAAATTTAGGGACTAATGTTTGTTCAAGTTGTACGCCCAGCAATACATTTATGCATGTTAACGCGGTTGCATGTGAAACTAATCATAAGAAAAGACAAATTTAAAGTTAAAAGTCGGCACCAAGGGGTGTCAATTCGCACAAGATAGCAGTAATGACTGCGCTCTGAAAGATCTCGCGTTTTGCAATGGACCCTTAGACAAGGTACGAATTAAAGGATTCTGATACATGTTTCTTGACCAAAATTTCAGGCAAAACACGATTTGCGCAACGAAAATGACTGAAACCAACTCCTAATGAAGATATTAACGTTTTTATTTCACATTGGTTACAAGGAATTTGAACTGCCCGCTCACAAGAAACTCAAAGCTCTGCGTGAGTCAAACCGCGCACTACAACGGTTTCAGCAATCTTTTCAGTCGAGCAATGTTCATTTCCCACCGTGTGTTTTTCAAACTATAAGCAATTTGCTATAGCTGAGCCAAAGCGTCAAGATTAATTTTGCCAAATTTTTTTACTGCAGGAACTGTCATGATAAACGTTTAGCGCGCGATGTGAATCACGTAGAGTATTGAGTTTCCATGAGCGGGTGATTTGAATCCACGCATCAAGAATCATTAAATATCTTCGCAAGGAGTTAATTTCGGTAATTTTTGTTGTGCGCATCGTGTTTTACGTGAAATTTTAGTTACGAAACATGTATCAGAATGCTGAAATTCGTACCTTGTCTAGTGGTCCATTAGGATGCAGGTGCTAATTTTTCTTTGATTATTCATTTAAATTTAGATGAGTCCAATTTAGAAGGAGCCTAGATTTCGTAAATCTATGGTCGGAACCCTCTGGGTGGAGTTGAGGCTAATTCGCCGGGAAAAGTTTCGAAAAGTGGACAACATTTCGCAATTAGGAACTACAACTTCCGGCTCAGTTTAGAAACAACATTTGTACAGTTTTCCTACACTGGAAAAAAAACACATTGGATCTCGAGTCCAGACTCAAGAAAACATTGACAAGAAAAAATACTCTTGATTCAATCAGATTTTTGCTTGAATCAAAAGGAAATCCGCTCAAATTAAGAGGCTTGGATCTTGATTTAAGCAAAAATCCGATTGAATCGAGGGTATTTTTTCTTGTCGATGTTTTTAAGAGTCTGGGCTCTAGATCCAATGTGTTTTTTTTCCAGTGTATGCATATCGACGGTGTGAGTCGGCAATCACATATCTCATTTGCGGTGTTTGAAAAACTCCGCCTCTATGTTATTTTTTCAAAGGAGGACAAATTGACGTCACACCATGGAGTTTTTGCAGAATTTTCTTGGCACAGAGAAGAAAAATCACGGCAGTTTTAAATAATTGCCGATGAGTAGTTTTCCGTTTAAAAAATAAAGTATGACAAGAGGTCTGCGACGTCGCAAACCGAGTTATGTGATTGCCGACTTGCATCGTCGATATGAGTGTTTTTACGTATATGAGCCAGAAATTGCAGTTCCTCAATGCATTTTAACCACTATTTCGCACATGAACGTCACGCGTTCGTTGCATCAACGGGCATGAGTCAAGTCATGCACGTGCATCCGTCCTAACCCGCAATGGGGGGGGGGGGCCCATAGGCCCCTGTTTCCCGTGCTATGATGTGGGTTGGCAGGGAGAAAAAACTTTCTAAATCCGCCCGTGTCGTCGGGTTAAATGTTTTCGTTGAGCGTACGGACACGCCGCACCGTGCGCACTGTCTCGTTAAAAGTCTATATTCTCTAATTGTTTTTCTTTCATTATCTTTGGCGCCATTGCGCGCCTGGGCGTCTTCTCGGCCCCGATTTTGACGCCTCAAAAGAGCCGCCCACCGGATGTTTACAGAGCGCAGACGCCGCACCGCCACGCGCGAACCAACCGAAGTTGGCAACACTGGGTTTTGTCCCTGGTAAACGCATGTGAAATAATCGAAACATCGATGACATAAGTCGCACTGAAAAAAAATTCTCGGCGTTTTTACCAAGGTCCGTTGATACCTTTACCATCTCACTTTTTTTTTACCAATTATTGGTAATTTTACCAAGACTGCATAGTAAGCTTACCTAAAAACCGGTATCTTTACTGTTTTTCCAGGTAAGAATACCACTTTTATTGGTAATCAATTCCCGGTAGCTTTGCCATTTTATCTCGGGAATTCTACCACAGTCGATTAAAAATATCGGTGTTTTTACCAAGGTCCAGTAAAATAACCGAGAAAGTTCATAATTTTACCGAGATTTCTCGGTAAAATTACCAATGCCACAAATGGTAATTTTACCAAGAAAAAACTGGGATCGAATAGAACCCTGAATCCTCGGTAATTTTACCCTTTTTTAGTGAATACACCGAGATTTTTTTTTCAGTGCGGAGAGTGCACATTTCCATTTCAAAGATTATATGGGCCGCGCTAAACAGAAAGGAACCGAGCCACATCAGCTATTGTCAAATTTAACTAGGCACTTTAAATTTTTACATGAAAACGGTTGTGCGGATTTTTTTGCAAAGTTCTCATATTTATTTGTATTTAACCATTTACTGTTGGCTTCCATGTTTGCAGAATTATATGAATGCAGCTGATAAAAAAGTATTCCGCTACGACCGGTACATGCCGTTGATTTTCATCGGAGGCGTTCCCCGCTCGGGGACGACACTGATGAGGGCCATGCTCGACGCTCACCCAGACGTCCGGTGAGTCTTTCGAAAACCCCTTCAAACTCCTTGATACTTCCAACGCTACAAATCCAAACCTTCGTCCTCCTCGCATCTCTTGCCGTATGGAAAGAATGTGAAGAGCTCACTCGCGAATTGGACGTATTTATGCTGAAAGGAACTATGTCCCTCGCAAACGCTATGCACACAGTTCCTTTTAGAATAAATACGTCCGATTTTCAGTTCCCACTAATCTAAATCATCGGTAAAACTCCCAAACCACGTATCTCGTCTGCGGTGTTTAAAAAGCTCCGCTCCTATTTGATTGTTTCGAAGGAGAACGAATCAACATCATTCCTTGAAATTTTTCCAGATTTTAGTTCAAACAGAGCAGAAAAATCATGGACTATTATAAGAATTGACATCGAGTAGATCTCTATCTAAAAAATAAAGTATGATAGGAAGTCTGCAACGTCGCAAACCGATTCTCGTGAATTGCGTCGAAATGCATCGGAGTTTTTGAGAGCACCTAAGTATCATTTTTCTTTATAGTGAATCACATGTATTTTTCCTCCCTTAAAAAAGGAGCGGTGTCTTCCGAGCGGCCCTAACTCAGCCCTGGATTTCTGTAACACCAACACTCCCTTACAGCGTAATGTTCGGATGAAACACAAATAATTGCAATTAATAGAGTCGGTAAGCCGCGGACAAATCAGTCAATTTTTTAATAGGCACAGGTTTATGAGCAGGATAAATTGAGTTTACAAATAGGTAATTAGTTCTAATCGATTCTCGAGGTTTTTTTGTAAATAATATGTTCCTGTACGTATGGGTCTGCAAGCCGAAAATGGCGTGTTATCGTGGTTTCTCCCGAGTGTAATGTCGTTTCTCGGACAAAGAAAAGTAAAGCAGCAAGGGGGGGGAGGTAGGCGGAGGGGGCACAATATCAAGGTGACTTTTGTCTTGATCGCGTCCTCTCCTCTACCATAAAATTTTTTTTTTTTAAAAAAATTGTCTAATACCTTCCCATTGGATTTCTAAAATGACATGAAACTTCAAATAAAACTTCCGTTTTCAGTTTTCATACCCACGTTTACAGCAATGCAACCATTCTATTGGATTAGGATTCTATGGCTAGATATAGCCAGTTATTTGCGTCAAGTTTATACCCTCTACCAAGAAAAAACGCTGGACACAAAGAAATCCAGGGTGGAAAGATATCACCCCTCAAAAACACTCCTTCTTTGGACGCTCCTGAACTTTCATAAAGATACTCCAAACACTGTAAAAGTTACGTTATAAAAAAAAAAAAAAACCAGAATCGATTACAAAAACTCAGGGTCCATTTGTTTTTACCAATGATATTCAGGCAATTGAGGGATCTTATTTACAGTACCCAAGGATGATTGATCATGGACTCTACGTCAGAAAAATATTAAGTAACCTCCTCTTTCTCTTCCCTCTTTTTTGAACTTTTCTCTCGGTACCTAAAAAAAACATTTTGTTTTTTTGAAGAGCATCTACTTGCAAAAAATATTTCAAGGAAAACGAAGGCTTAAAAAATTTCCAATTCATAGAAATGACATAATTCCGAATTTGAATGTTTTTCAATTTAAGTGAGGGAATACTGTTTTTTTAAATTAGGTTTTTCTCTTGCTTCAAAAAATGTTGACGTTATTATTTTTCTCCTAATTTTTGTTTTTGTTTTTTGTAGCTGCGGTCAAGAAACTAGAGTAATTCCTCGAATTTTACAAATGCGGCAGCATTGGGTGAAGTCGCCAAAAGAAGTCACGCGATTAGAAGAAGCTGGTGTTACTTCTCAGGTAAAATAAACCCATGCTTTACATCAAAGTATTTTCTGTAACTTCTCTCTAATTGTAAGCTTAACATGATTACGAAGTCTCATGTGCTATTCCAGGGTTGCCACAGTCATGAAAAACCTAGAAATGTCAGGGAATTTTATGAAACCAAGGAAAATAAGGCAGTATGAGGGAAAATAATTTAAGTGTCTGAAAAAAATAGGTATGTCACCTTCATTTCGTTTGTTGACGTTTCGAACAACAAACGTTGCAACAAAACTATTTTAAACTATGTCTTTTCAACTGTCCCGCTCATCCTCAAATGTCAAGGAATTTTCAAAAATCTCTCATGGACTGGATGTTAGGAGGAAATTTTATTTTCTAAGTGTTTTGAAACTTGCTATATCTCATCAAGTGTTTATTTTATTTTTCATGTATATTTCATCTTGAATTTTCATCCATAAAGTGCAAGACCTTTTAAGATTAATGAAATTTGTTTATAGCTGGATTTAATTCAAAGGAAGTCAAGATTGTTTATTGCTGCTCTTCCGTGAGAAGAATTCTCTTTGCTTTTATAATTTATTCTTTGTATTATACTAGCCCGCATAGAAGAAAGGAAGTTACATTTGTGTTAGAAAACTCAAAATTGAGATTTTGACACCACTGCTTTTAAGAATGTATCACGACGATTATTTTGACTAAAAAAATGTCTAAAAATGTCAAATTATGTCAAGGAAGAAGCTCAGATAATGTAGATTTTAGAAAATACTGTTTCAAGCTCTAACTGATCGTTAATATTTGGGTGTCATAATAGTCAAGTGACACACTCCAAAATTAAATCTTCAAATCTTTAGCCAAGTTTAATGTTTTTCTGCTTTTTCCAGTTGATTTGCCTTTTTTTTGCCATCAAGTAGGTAAGAAAATGAATTAAACTGATGAACTTCAAGAAGCAACATGATCATGGTGCTGCCTCACTGTATAAATATTTTCCCTTTATTTAATAAATTTTCATGTTTCATTATTTCAGGTCATAAACTCTGCCATTGCTGCATTCTGTCTAGAAGTCATTGCCCATCATGGCGAGCCAGCAGCAAGGTTATGTAACAAAGACCCACTCACATTGAAATCTGCTGATTACTTATCGGAATTATTCCCTGAAGCAAAATTTATTTTCATGGTCAGAGATGGGCGAGCTACAGTTCACTCAATTATTTCTAGGAAGGTATAAGAAGTCTTTTGAAATCTAAACACTCAATAATTTACTTCGTTTAGGCTTTGAGCGCTGATGGTTTCATTCTTTTCCAATTGTTAAAATAAACGATGACCTCAGGTGGAAAATTTTCAAAATTCCAAAGGCTTTATTTGTCATAAGTGCATCTATGCTAGATTTCTTTATTGTGTCATAGTAAAGATAGATTATGCGACAGTATTTAGTGGTCAATGGGTAATGATGGCATAGTTGCTTGTCAGCAAAAATATTGTTTTCATGAGCTTTTTTTCAACATTATGAATTACGCAGCAGGTTTATACTTCCAAAAGAATCTGCACTTAGGACCACTGTACAGGGTTTTTCCTGCCCTGTTTCCAATTTTTTTGATTTCTTGTGTAATCAACCTGATTTGCGAATTCCTGTCATTTTTAGTATTTTAAAAAAATTTGTTTGGGGCAAAAATATTTCCAATCCTCTTTAAAAACAGTATCTGCAAAGATGTGTGAGGCACGATTTTCCATTGTCATAAAAAAAACATTTTCAGTTTTATTGTTGGCCCAGTTAAAAATATATTTTAAACAGTTTGCGGCGAAACTCATCAAATTCTTACGGAATCTAATCAGCTTTATAGAAGATTCCAAATCATTTGGAAGCATCCAGCATTTTCATCCAGCATTTTCTAAAAACTGTCCTCCAATTTTTCTGAAATATTTTATGCTCCCAAGAACAGTTCTCACTCAGTTTTGTTGGATTATCCCGCCTGGGATTTTTCTTTAATTTTTACAAATTTTTCCTCATAAAAAACAAACCATTCGAGTTAATTTTTAATTAACTTTTCTTTATTTTTTTCTAGGTAACAATCACTGGATTTGACCTCACCAATTATAGGCAGTGCATGAAGAAATGGAACGATGCCATTTCAATAATGTATGAAAAATGTCTAAGTGTTGGTAAATCTAGGTGTATGTTAGTCTATTACGAGCAATTAGTTCTTCATCCGGAAGATTGGTTGCACCGAATCCTCAATTTTCTGGACTTACCGTGGAATGCATCTGTGCTCCATCACGAGGAGATGATCAACAAACCTGGAGGGGTCAGCCTTTCAAAGTGAGTCAATCTCTTTTGTGCATTATAAGAAGCTTACTCATTATTGATTCTCTATATTTATTCTGAAGTTAATATGAAATTGTTCAGCTGTTATGGCAAAATCGTTTCGGTTGTAAACTGCTCTCAATTTACAGTGTTTTTACAAGGTTTTGGCCTCGATATGCGTTTTTAAAGTTTCATATCATCACAATTTTTTCCTCTTATAACTTTTGCCTATACTTCCATTGTTTTCTTTGTTTTGTAATTATTCCTTTAAAGAAAACTCATTCAAGTTAATTTTTAAATTAAAGTTTCAGGGTTCAATCTTCAAGAAAAAAGAAATAATACATACATTTTTAAGTAATTCTGTTCATTAGTTTACCTCAAAATAATTGGACAAGTTTGGCAATGCAGTGCCTAAGCAGGCATATGCCGTGCTAAGGAAAAACGCTGTACGAACATTAGAAGGTTGCCAAATTTCCCTGCATAAAGCATGCACTTTTGAGAAAAGTTATTCGTATTTTTCCTGGAAATTTGCAGTTATTTTAGATCAAATTGCGAACAAAATTGTCTGAAATCTTTGAGAAAAATATTCACAATTTTCCCAGTGAATTTGGTTTTTATTGAAGGAAATTTGACAACGTGTAAAAGCTCATACAGCGTTTTTCTCTAGCTCGGCAAAATGGTGATTGTGATACTTCAGCCGGCTGGTGAGGATTTACAGAAGATTTTGCCAATACTAGTGATTGATTGATTTTGAAGGATCAGTACATAAAAGCCATTGTTTTATCTAGGATTTAAATTATTCCAACAAAGGACCAAAAAATTTTCAGATCTTTCTACTAATGTTTTTGATGCATTTTTTTGATTTTTTGCTTTAATGATCTCCAGGACAGAAAGATCATCCGACCAGGTCATCAAGCCAGTAAACCTAGAAGCACTAACAAAATGGGTTGGGCAGTTCCCAGAAGACGTCATCAAGGAAATGGATGAAATAGCACCTATGTTGGCCAAACTAGGTTATGATCCCAACGCCAACCCCCCCACCTATGGATACCCAGATGCAGTAGTGCAGGACAACACATACAAAATCAAACAAGAATCTGATAAGTGGAAAGAAAAAGCCGAGAAATTATTGTTGAGGACTCACGTCGAAAATCTAGAAAAAAATAAGAAAGACGATGACGAATCCTCCGATAACCCTGCCAATGCTGCTTAGTTACCACAACAAGGTGGGAAGTGCTCTGAGGACAGTGTGAGTAAAAGTTAAACAATGACCTCAGTCTGTGTAATTTTAGTTGTGCGAATAGGTTATAGCGTAAGTCCCTCCAAAAATTACCATCTTCCATTTTTTTTTTTAGTCTTGTACAAATTGCGAATTTTCCAGGATTTTCATATTTTCACTCCTTAAATGGAATTGCGGAAAGATCCTGGATTTTGTATCGTTTCATCAAAGAAATGAGAAGATATCAAAGTAGAGCACAGACGAATTAAAATGAACTGAAACTCAAGTGTGTTGAGGACAGATCTTATACGGATGTTACTCTTAATGAAAAGTTGCCATACTTTTAGTTTTGTTCAAATTCAAAATTGTTCGTGAAAAGTTATAGCTCTCAGTCCCAAATTATACAAGTAAGTATAAAGTGGAAGCGTTAAAAAAGTCTGAGAAGAAAACTCACAAAATTAATTTTAACGAATCTTTTGACTCAACTAGTAGGAACCAAATTGTCTCTATTGCCAGTATTTTTTTTAGCAATGGTTGACCGCAAGTTGCGTAACGCAACCTCTAAATTTGACTTTAAGTCGCGGGAAAATTACATTCTAATTCTATAGCTGTATGCAAGTTGAGCTTTTTTTACAACCAGCTTAAGCACTAATTAGCTCCGCAATGGTAGGTATAAAACATTAATCAGCAATCGAATAACTAAGTCAACATTCTTGCCTCAACTTGCAACCAATCACAAACCTGCCAGCAGGAGCCAAGCCCTAGATTAAAGACTTTACAACACTCTGACCCATGGGAATCACACCATTGCCTCTAACTTTATCTGAAAAACAACTCAAAACTAAAATCGAATTTCTAAGTTGTCCTCGGGAAGGAAAAATCTGTAATTTTGTCTTAGCAATAAGGGGCGACTACTTTTTCTCCCATTTGGCTTGAACTGCTATTGCATCACTTCAGCCCAGCGGGTACTGCTATGTGTGTATCCTTAAAATTGGGAATTACAACATAATCACCAGAGACAAAAACATGGTCTTTCCAAGCAACGATTAAATGTCATTCAGCTAAGGTGGAAGATATACAAAATCTTAACTTTTTTCCAATTTTATTTATCATTGAATGAACAGATCATGGAGTTTTGCCTTCATTTATAAGTGGAAATTCTCTTAATTTTTATACTCTTATTGCTCTTGTCATCAATAAACCAGTGTTGCATGATGCTTGAGTTCCTTTGTGCCAAATCTTTTTTGTCAGCTGTTTTCAATTTGCATTACGAGCGCTTAAATTCTGGTCTTCCTGTGTCACAAGTAACTTATATGAAAATCTATGGACTAAAATAAGTAGACGGATTGAAGGATCAGCATTTTTCCGTTTTGTAAGAAGCGAAAAATTATCCTGAAATATTTCTATTGCTGTCAATCATCACAAATACTCAATATGCATTTATCACAATGTACTCGTTACGTTCGTCAGTTAAAACACTTGTGAATGTCTTCTCTTCCAGATTTTAATGTGATTTTATTGATGCGCAGTCATCTGCTTTAATAAGAGGCGGTTCCTAAAATACGCAACGCTCTAATGAGGAGTACAGAGTCAAAAATCTCAAACATTTTCAGGCTTCAGAAATTTTTTTTTGCAATGTATTGTCGATGTATTTAACCTAGAAATGCAGTTAGCCTAAGAGCTGTTGAAAACTTGAAACCATCTAAAACAAAAATTGAATGTGTTATTCGGTATCCTATAGAATAGTGGTCCTTCAATTGCGATGAGTACATACATCCAATCCAAATTGTAAGTGGTAAATAGGTCGTCAATCAAGATGAATATCACATTTTGTTAGTTTTGGATTATCTCAGTTCATCATTTTAGACTATCATAAATTAAAGTACATAATTAATATCCTCTCATGTTTTTTTATGCAACTCTTTTAGTTGATTACGAAGGGACTTACAGACGTGATTCAGTTAGAAACTGAGAGCGGCTCCCCACCAACCCTTAATTTCTTGTTAATAATTGTTTCATGTCATCATCATGGATAACAAGACTGATTTAAGTAAATTTATTTTGCAAAGTGACTTGTCCTCTTTCCTACTCTGTATGGTAACTTGTAAGAGTCAACTCTTGAGAAAGCGAGGGTATGTGCTAGCTGAGTACACCGTGTTTTTCAAAGAGTGGTATTTTAGATAATATTCGACATCACTTGGTGTTCATACAAATCTTATTACTTCTTGCCATTCTATAAGATTCGATTGTAAAAACATAATACTTTGCCATGTGTAACCAACCTGCTATGTATTTAGAAAAATCTTAAACTTTAATTTGTAAAAATTCTCTTGGATATGATATTTTTGGGCATATATGTTTTACTCTGTCTCTGAAACACCTCACTTTGCCATGGTATAGTTCACGGTAAAAAATTCATGGTATAAATGTATGCAATTTAGACTACGACAGAAGATCGTCTGACGTCATTTTCGCATGAAGAGTAAATGCAAGAAGTAAGATGGCGAATCTTCTGTTGTAGTCTAAAAGTGCGTAAACTCAGTTGGCGCGGACTCTACTCGTAACTCAATTTTGAGCTTTCGGCACAAACGTCTTTTTCCAAGAGATAGCCTGATATTCTTAATTTTTGCCAGTACACATCAGATTTTGAGACAGTTAGCTGACTCTCTTACAAGTTACCCATCTGCCTTGTAGATATTTTCACCGTTATGTTTTTCTTTCCTACTTAAAATGTTATCTTTTTAAGAAAAAGGTTTCAGGGTATAAATTTTTTTAGATAAATTGTAAATAAGAATAATTAATGTGAAAAACCTAGCTATGTAAGTTAATTTATTTGTACGTACATATGTTATTCTTGTTAATTTATTGTTGAACTATTGTGCATCATAGCTAGATCAGTCATCCTAAAGCATCTCTTGAATCCACTGAAATTTTTAACTTCTCAGGTTTTTAGGTTGTCAAATGCGTTTCATTTTGGGCTCAGTGCTATGTCATCTTCAACTGTGTTAATTTTGATCTCTATTTTATTTTTTACAGCAGTTTTCAAGCCAGCAACTCTCAAATTTTTTGTCACTGCGAAGTTCATTGAATCCAACAAGGTTGTCTCAATAGTAATTTTTGGTTTCCTCTGATCTTTACTTGTTGTAAAGTTTCTGTTTTTTGAAAACAACAGATTTTCAAAAAAACTGGCATAAAAAAGAAAATGTAAGAGAAATATGAAGGATTTTTGTGGGCTAGCAGTTACGCCTATTAAAATCCCGTTTTCCCTCAATATGTAGAAACAAAGTAATCAAAAGAACATTGTATAATAATTTTTGACAGTACGGTTATTACTTTGCAATGGAACTTTGCATAAGATGAATGAAAAAAATTCTCAGGCATACATGAGGTGCATTTCAAAAATTTTAACCTGGGTAATTATATTGATTATAGCGTTGATTTATTAGTTGTATTCATTTATTTATTTTTATCCAGATGGGTCCTTTTCAGTTGTTAAATATTTGACTTCAATCATAGTGTTAATTTGTCTTTTTTTCTCCACCTGTAGACAACTCCCTCATTCAAAAAATTAAAACTTTGACCTACTTAAGTTATCCCTTAGAGCTTTTGTTTAAAAAAAAAAAAAATTGAACTTGGTTTTTAAAGAGTCCAACTCCAGTTCATTTTTTTTTTTTCAAAATTGGCTTCCTTGCAGAAAAATGCTCTATATGAATATTTAACTTAGTCTCTCTTTTCCTGAAAATTCTCTAATTCCATAGAAGGGCGTGATTGGAAACAAGCATTAATTGTGTTTCATACAAACAAGTAATTCTAGTTAACAGTGAGATGAGAAACAGCCTGGCACACAACCTATATGAACCTAAATTTCTTAAAAACTCTTTTTGTGCAATATTTAGTTGAATTGATTCCTTGCAGGGATTGAATGATGTCACTCCAAATTACAATAAATTAAATCTGTGACGTGCTGAACAAAATTGTGAAAAATTAATTTGATTCATATTAAGAGTCTGATAAAAAATGCCAAAGGTTTTTAAGAAAATTGTTCATCCTATTCGCAGAGATCAGTGTGAAATATGGCAGAAAACAGAGTGCTTAAACGTACCACAAGGAATTGATTCATTTATAATTTCAATCAAGGAAGCTGAGGGTGAACTTTTCTTCACGGTGTTATCAATCAAAGATGAGATTCTCTCGCTAAATTCAAAGTGAACGCTCCTCAGAGGAGTAGGCTGTGTTTTTTGCATTTTAAATTTTTTACGTGTTGAAAATAAAAACTTCAGAGTTATTTATCGTCTTCAAAAGATGTACTTACTGCACTGTACAAACAACACTTGTGAAGTTCTATCTTAGAAAATTATTTATGTTTTAGCTTTGTAGTCATGCAAGATTTTTGTTTTTTTCTGTTTATTTTTCTTTATTAAATAAAGAGTTTATCATCAGATGCAAATAGTGTACATTTTTTCAACTGAATTTTTCCAATTCCAAAAGAGGATTCACTCCTTCATATTTTACTTAGATTACAGTCTCTGCCTGCTCTAAAGTGTTCAGAAAAGTTCAGCCAAACTTTTGAGAATCATTGATTTTGCTTTAGAGTGGTCTTTGAGAGGAGCAAAAGAAAAAATACTGATCATAAAACATAAAATATTTGAACCTTTAGTACCTCCTTCTGAAAACTGCATTTTTTGAATTGTAAACTTTAAACGACAACTTCAACTTGTAACTCCAATTTCCTTTAGAAATTTTTGTAACTCATTCCTCTAAGGCAATGGTACCAATCACCTAATTTTAAATTTTCGAGCACTTGAATCCCTTTTTCCTTAGATGATGAGCTACCTGTCTTCACGGTTGTTATATCAGGAAAAAACCTCGTCTTTGTGATTCTAAGTAATTTTATTCTTTAAAAGAACATATAAACGGAGCAGACGGATGTTTAATGTCTACCACAGTGAATTAATGGATTCTTCTTTATAAACTCACTTTTATCGATAGGTTTATTTATAGCATCTAAGTACATCAGTATAAATCAAAGAAGACATTCTTTTCTTAAAATGGAATTGCTTCTCACTTCTCAGTAACCTAAAACTTCGGATATAGAATCTTGAAGAGTAAATTTCAACAAACTTTCATTTTCCCAAAACAGAAAAACCCAATAAATCTGAAGAGATGTTAATTTGGGTTGAAATTGATGGATGAAGCACAATTACATAGAATTCCCATTAAAGGTGCCAGTATAAAAATACAAAACCATAGACAGTATTGAGAATGCTTCACTTCTTCCACAGGAGAGCATCTGCAACTTTTTGGCTTGCTGCTTCGTCCAACAATATCTTGACAATTTCTAAAGCAAATTCATATGCAGTACCGGGCCCTCGACTAGTCACAATATTACCTGGAAAATTTAGAGAAATTTTATGTGAGAAAAGAGGAGATTTCTTTGTAGTGCGGTTTATAATCTCTGCATTGGAGGATCGCAGTAATTTTTATAGTTGACAAGATGGGGCTCTATCCTGAACATAACTGCAACAAGAAATTTATAGCTGTAGAAATCAAGACTCTTTCTCATAGTATCAGGCAGAGCTTCAAGCTTTTACAGAGAATAAATCTCACAGAGGTCTTCAAAAGCAGGGATGTAAAAAGTTCTAGAAGCAGACCTTTTCTCACAATCTGGCCTTTTTGCTTGGCAGCAAATTTTCCGAAGTAGATAGGAAAATGCATAGCCAAAGCAAAATTAAGTCTTCCATAGTATACATGATTTTGCTGGTTCTTTAAAAGACTTACCATCAACAACTACATTGCTTGACTCGTTGTACTTGTAACTTGTACCTTCGAATTCTCCTTTCACCGAGGGGTAGGAGGTGACTTCTTTTCCGGCGCCAATACCATGAGATTTCAAAACAACTGGGGCTGCAAAGGAACGAATAATAATCATGGAAAATCAATTTCTGAACTAAAGAAACACTTAAAGGGACTCAGAAATTTTAGATTTCAGAAATAAAACAACAGGACTGTAACTCTGCTGCGCTGATAAAGTAGTAGATACATTCAGACCTTCCCAAATTTCTTTAAATAAAATACAAATTTTTCAAAGCAGTATGTGCTTACTTCAAAATATTTAAGGAAATTTCCTTATTATATTTACCCTTGTATTAATATTTACTCTTATTAATATTTACCTACCCTTGATGTCCACAATTAGTAAACTAGCATTCAGTGGAGGAGAGCCCTATCCCTGTACCTTGAAAGATAAGAATTTTAAACACAGATGGGTCGGTCGCATTTAGATTTTGTGGAAGATATTTTTATTTGGGTACCCATACTCAGTGATGTTGATGGAATCATTTAAAAATGTTGTCGTAAACCCAGAATTTTAAAGAAAGGACCCTTCCTTTGCCCAAGGGAGGCCAGTGGAAAAATAAGGGCTCCTTTGATTCCAGGCATTATCTTTCTGAATCCAACTCAAAACAACCATGAAATATGCCAGATGCACAGGATTTAGGACACCCAGTGCAACAAAAAAAGTTTAGGTACGACCTCCTTTTACCTTGATTTTTATAGTTAATTTATAATTGAGTATTGGAGAAAAACACAATTTGGTTGCAGAAGATAAATCAGAAAAAATTGATTTGTTATCAATGTGTTGAAATGTTCTTTACAAGGCAAAATCGCTTTAAACAACCAATTTATCCGACAAGGTTCTTACCTGCACAAATTGCTGCAATCAACCGGTTTGCTTTCTCTTGCTCCTTTAATAAAGCTCCAACTTCAGATGACTGCAATGACAAATAAACAAAATTTCTTGGTGTTACGAACATTTGGGTGCATATTCATGCATGGGCTCCTTAGCTGTGATAAGTACCTGGTCAAGACATCTTCAAGCCCAGGAGACCAGCTAGCGCGAAAATATCAGCTATCTTTGGGACAAATTTGTAGCTTGTATTCTTTGATCACAGAAAATATTGCTGATGGAAGTTAGATTTAAAACCCAGGGGCAAAGCCCGAAACACAGAAACTTCAAGGAGTTTATTGTGACACAGTAAGTTAAAACAGAATAGGTATCGTTAAATCCTGTATTCATTATCAGTCTTAATACCAAGTATTCATTCGCTCTTTCAATTTCATCTTTTAATTGGCTATACCAAGTGTTCATTCGCTCTTTCAATTTCATCCTTTAATTGGCTATCTTCCAATAGAATTGAGTTCAGTTCAAGGTTACCTGAGCTAAGACTTTGTACGCAGGTCCTCCAGGCAGAACAACAACATCGTATGGTCCATTCTTCAGCGCTTCATCAAAGCTAAGATCTGGCTTAATGTACACATCTCGGCTACACTTCACTGGATCAGTTCCTTTCAGACCGGCTACACAAACTTTGATCTAAAAACAGCAGAAAAAGTTCAGTATTGAATTAAATTGCCTTCAGATAGATTGCCGGTTAGAATTTGCTGCCATGAGAGTATAAGTAGTTATAAGATATCTCACATCAGTTATTTATAAGAATTGCTGACTAATGGTAGTTACTATGTCAAATATAGAGTGCAATAGAGTCGCAATGTACTGGAGTGCCGATGAAGACAATTCATGAACGGGCTATTCCGAGCCCCTTGTTCTTCCGTAAGTGTGAACCATCTAGGAACTGTTCGGCATTTTTTAACACGGCGGCTTATGGGAGGATCGCAAGCTGCGAGTAGTTTTCGGGGTTTTAATCGTCTAAATCAATCATGATTTTTGCGAATTTTGGCAAATTGTGTTCACTGAAGTCATAACAAATTAAAAATGTGCAACTCTCTCGGTTTTTATGAAATAAATTTTATACCTGTATTTTCTGAGCAAAGACCAGAGCTGGGACCCTGCGCATTCAGCATCGCCAGTCGCTGCATACTGGTCTCTGGAGTACTGGACAAAACAGCCTCAAAAAGTGACTTCATCGACGCTCCAGAACATTGCGACTCTATTGTACTCCATTATGTCAAAACAGCCCTGGGCTAACGAAGGACTTACTCTTTGGTGTTGTATGAATACTTAAACCTCCGTAAAGGCTGAAAACTACAAGCAGAAATTCTGGTCATATTAATGAGTTATAATATCTATTGCTTTTGCTAGATTTTTCATTTGGGACAGTCTCAGGAACATGTTGCGCAATCCTCTGTATGCTGTGGCAACTCAAACTAGTTTGTCTACATAGTAAATATTGCAATGACAGCCTTTATAAACTTACACCAGCCCGCCTTAAAATATCGGCAGAAACTACGAATTCCATTTCTTCTGCTCCTTCAGCGAGCACAATGAAAGCATTTTTCCCAACCATTCTAGAGCTGCAATAAAACCTCCTGGCTACTGATGAGACTAGAGGTGATAACATGCAAGCTAAAGCTCCTCAATAACAAGTCGCCGGCAATTGAAAAAGAGGGAAACCGCTCTTCTCAAACCTTACGTCCGCGTTATCAGCACAGAAAGAAATCGAGAAACTGTGAAGAGGCACGAATTTTGACAAAAATCAAGAGCTCAAAATTACTTCAAGTGACAAAAAGTTAAATGTGTGATAATGAAGGTTATCACCATTATCACTCACGATGAAAAGGTAAACAAACTGAACAAATCGTAGTAGTTGCCAAAGCACCAACAATTGGAACAATATTTCTTCCCACTCAGCGACTTTGCAGGCATGCAATGTATGCAAAAATGTAGAATTGTGTCAAAATAATAAATTTACGTTATTCCTAAAAATATGATAAACAAGAGTAATAAACTTATTATCTGAAAATAAAGAGAATTTTCTAGTGCTCAATAGAGTCAATCAGACAACACCGTGAATCACATAACCTCCAAACTCTCTGGAATACAGTTCGAGTAAATTCCAGACACAAAAGTTCCAAATCAGCGTTTGCGTTTTTCCTTTTCCAAAGGTTTTTTTCGTTATATTCGATATTGTGGGTCTTAAAAATTTACTCCCTTCATTTTGTGTTTTCAATCATGCACCAAGTTGTAGATGTCACCATTAATGGCACTTTGTTCATGTTCCTAATTTATGTGTACGCCCTATTTCGAATGACTGGCAGCTAAGATTTAAGAATGTAGTTGATCATAAAGCAATTCAGTCATTTTTTCCGCACAGGAAAACACCCAGCATGGCGTCCAAGTTTAAAGTAAGAAAGAAACTTTATGTTTTTGTCGCTCTTGCAATCATCGGCTTGATCCTTTTTACCAAAGATTTTTCGCCGAACGTTGAAAGCGCAATGGAGGACCATAAAAAAGAACGTCAGGTTCTAGAGTAAGTACCCATACCTTTAGTCAAAAATTAAAGGAAGCTTTTAAATCTTTTATTCCAAACAAGGCAGAGCACAAATATTCGATAAAAAGTAGTAATAAATTGAAGAATAATAGATACCCGGAGGAGTTTAAGTAGTCACATTTTTTAAAAAGTTGAAGCACTGAACGCTGTCACTTCAAGTAAAATGTTATTCAGGACCAGGACACTTTAAGAGAATATTTTAGACTCCATTGTTTGACCAGAGCATTAGAAATTATAGTTGATTTGTGCCCCAAGTTTTCACATAGTTTATCGCCTTTAAGCAAGTTCTTTCAGTCTAAATAACTATGTAGGCTGATTGAACAGCGTTCACTCTAGAAGCCACCCTCTACTAATAATTTGATTACTCACTTTTTCTACATCCTAGAGGAAGCGCAGTGTTACTCTTTACAGTACCTATTTGTTCAGAAAAGTAGCATATCTTACCAGAAGAATGCATGCTGCAAAATTCGGTCAATAATGTAGAAAAGATGTCTCTCTCTTTCTTCCACTTGAATATCCATGAAGATCTGAAATTCTTAGCCATCTATTTTTCCCCAGGAAACCTCAAGAATTCGTACTAGGTGTTGTTGCGTGTGGGAATAGAACTGAAGAAGCCCTCGTGATGATAAAATCTGCCTTAGTGTTAAAATCAACAATGCTTCTTAAACTCCTAGTGGTGACTGAGGAGCCCTCAAAAAAGTTCTTTGAAGAAAAGGTAAACTTAACTCTTCGAAATCTATTTCAATAAGTATGAATCTATAATGTGTACCTATAGGTAGGCTTATTTTGGTTCACTTTTGGTCATAGGGTACTTCATCATCAAGTAAGTCATTTTTGTCAAATTGTAATACATACCCTGAGCATAGCAAGTTCAAATTTTCAGTAGCCTCTTTCGCAAAGCTACATTTTTCATGCTGCAAACCACAAACTTTCATTACTCCAATTTGGTTCGACATTCCTGGATATATTTTGTCCCAAATCTTGCCAGAACATTCCTCCGTGCTCTGGTATCAGTAAGCTGGTGGTGTCTCTATAGTGGTTCTATGTGCGAAAGTCTTTCTTGAGTAAACCATCACACTTACAATAACTGGCACAAGAAATGAGATGCTAAAAACTTCTTGCGTGTACATTCCAGAAGATTTGAAAAGGGCACCTAACTATTTGAACAAATTTTGAAAGAGTAAACTCCAAAGGCACTCTTGACAATGGAGAATTTGCAAGGGTCTGAAATTTGATGAATTTCCTGTTTAAGTGGAATTCTCTGAGTGAACTGAACACGAAGATACCATTGATTCATAAATTGAGCAACTATTAGAGGAGATATAACAAAATAACCGATTCTGCTAAAATACATGTGTTTAAATGGGAAATGCCGCCAGATGACGTCACAAGGCGGCACATTTTCTCACTTCTAAATCAATTTTTCTCCAATTTCCCATGTCAGAAAAAAATTATGAAAAATATTGCGAACTCAGCTCATTAGGCACTTTCAGATGAAGCAATAAAAAAATTGCGTGCAAATTCTCCATTGATATTCTCAAAAATTAGTTCAGAAATTTTTTTTTCAATACATTGTTTTAAGAGCTGGGAGTGCCTATCAATAAGGAAATGTGGAATGTGTATTGTAGAAGGTAACTTACTCCAGGGACCTCTTTGTGTCTATGCTAAGTAACATGGCTTGAAGTTATCCACCCCAATTTTACTAATGTGGTTTTAATATTTATATTTTTCAGCTCACCCCATGGGTCATTTTGATGAATGATACATTTACTTTTGAAATTCATTTAGTTTCTTTTCCGTCAACTCATGAAAAAGAATGGAGACACATGTTCAAATTGTGCGCTTCCCAACGACTGTTTTTTCCTGTAAGGAATTTTTTATCATGCATGTTAAAAAGATCTATGGTTTTTTTCCCTGAATCGTAGTATTTCAATTTTTTACAAATACCCATTCTTGCATGTACAAAAAACTCCTGATTCTCCAAATTAATTGTGACTACACTGATCTAGAGTCCCTTTATACTGAGAGTCAAGACAATTCAGCTCATGGATGTCACAAACGGGAATAAAGATTACAGAAATTGAACGTTTTTCGTAATCTTTGATCGGCCCATTCTCAAATGCCTTTCTCCGTTCCTCCTCTCATTCCGTTTGTTCCTTGCCGAACCCGTAATTCCCTGGTCCATTCCAGATTATAATCTTTGCAATTGGTGAAAATGTAATCTTTATTCCCGTTTGTGACATGTGGAGGCCTAAAATACGGGAACCAATCAGAAATGGATTCAAATTGTCTTGACTCTCAGTATAAAGGGACTCTACACTGATCCTTTCAACAACGAAATCTGAATAAATAATTGATAAAGCATAAAGGAGAAAAAATTAGATGTCAAGTACATACTTCCCAGTTCTCTGCTGAGAAGAAGAAAAGGGGGAAAACCTCTTGAGAGATAGGTGTCAGTATGTAGGTGTGCAGGTCATATGGCCAAAAACTTAACACCAAAACCAAGAGTGGTGTAAAAGTGAATTCCATGTCAGAACACTCTACCAGAAACTTTAATCAAACGAAAAAAAAATCGAAGAACTTGTACGTTTTCTTATAAAATATTTTTCATTTAAATGACTCATTTTCCTCACACCTAAGTGAAAACTTTCCCAGTCTTTTTTACTCTCACACTATCTTGGTATAAATGTATATTGTTGAACACGAAGAAGTTTAAATGTTAGTTTGTTTCTTCCCAAAGGACTTAAGTTAAGACAATTTTAATTTATAGCCTCAAGTAGGGCTAGTTGTACCTACGTATTTTCAAAGAACAAAAAAAAAGAGTTTTTTTGGGTGGAAAAAATCTCTGACTCTTAATGGCTCTTTGTTTTGTTTTCTTCAGGACTTGTTACCACACATAGATTCTTTGCTGTATGTCGATACAGACACACTATTTTTAACACCTCTAACAAATATATGGAAACATTTTTCTTTGATGAATTCCACCCAGCTTGCAGCCCTTGCACCTGAGGGTGAGGACGAGAACGTTGGCTGGTACAATCGTTTTGCCCAGCACCCTTACCCTGGAAGACTAGGTGAGCATTTTTCTAATGGTAACAGGTTAAGTCTACGGTCAATATAATCTGAGGGTATGCGGGAAAACTTTAACGCCTTGATTGCCATGCTGGTCACTAAGGACCAGCAGTGACTGGTGGTTATGAGGCCTCCGAATCAGGTAAAGAAAACAGTAAATTGATACACCCATATAAAACTGGCAAGAAATCATAACAGAATGATAGTGATGCACTCTGTGGGGCATTGCAGTAACATTCAGTTACTCAGCAAGCTAGATAGCGCTCTGAAAGGCACCGAATAATGGCTTACATAACAATGGTCCCCATATAGACCCGAACTGGCATTCTCGTCATACAACTGGGGACTGAAAAAGTCTTTGCAGTCAACGAGTTGAGGTAAAGGTACATGCATTACTCATCAAAGGAAGAATACAGAAGAAATTAAACACCTTCTCATCGGTAAAGATACTCTTTTTACCTTGAATGTCCCAAAATCAAATTCAATTTTCAGAGTTGTTTTTTGAAAAAAAGCATATTGAACGTTTAGCCGGCAAAGTTCCCTGATCTAAGGAATACTAGAATAATATTGTGTCAGGAATTCTCAAAATTTACATACCTCAAAGTCACAACAGAAAGAATGTCATTTTTATTGGTTCCATGAATGTAGAATATTTAAATCAAGGTAGCCTCTAATGATCCTTAATGCGTTCCAGGTCTTAATTCTGGAGTGATGCTCATGAATCTTACTCGAATGAGAACCATGGGATGGACCAAGTATCTTGCTCCAATTTATGAAGAGTTCAAGCACAAACTCACTTGGGGAGATCAAGACATCATCAATATCATATTTTCTTATCATCCAGGTACGTGCTTGATGTATTCTTCTTGATTAACTGTTATTATCATCGTGAACGTTGTCAGGTGAGCTACTTTACCGGCTTGTGCTTTTAGATCCATTTTCATCTTTTTAAAAGTTTATTTCTCGCCAATATGACATCAAAAAATGTATCCAGTAATACTGATAAACTAGCAGGGGTGCAGAAAGTTATCTCCACCAAAATCAGTCACAAGCTTAGCCTGTTAAAAAAATTCCTCCAGGAGCTTTACATCCTGGAGTACTTTTCCTGACCCTGCAAGCCAGACTGAAAATCAGCCAAGTAAACTTGTCTCTGTAGTTACATTTATGGATTAAATGTGGATAAAAATTAATGGAACATCTTTTGAATCTTAAAAACACAAACGTAGTCACTATTTTAATCAAACCAATCAGTTGAGTAATCAATAAAAATCAACAAAATCTTTTTCTCAGGTGTAGAATATTCACTAAGTTTAAAAAGTTTCTTTTTCCCTGTCATTCAGTAATAGTAGCTTGTCTAATAGAAAAATTTTTTTCTCACAGAATGTCTGTACATGTACCCATGCTCGTACAATTTTCGATCGGATCATTGTATATATACAAGTATCTGCCTGGATGCAGAAGAAAATGGTATTAATGTTATGCATGGCTCGCGTGGGGCATTCCAGAAAAAGCAGCCCGCTTTCATGGCCGTGTATAAAGCTTTCAAGGAGGTAAATTTTTGCTTTAACAATTGCATTGTTTTTTTTTTTTTTTTTTTTAGTAGTTTATAAATTGCAAATGGGTCTGTTTGCACACAATAAATCCAAAAAAATGAATACTTTTCTTAGAGGTATTTTACAGAAATTACGATGATCACTAAAAAACAGTCTGAAAGACACTCTTGAGACAGATGATCTGCCGTTTCTGAGTATATTATCATGTGTTAAGAAGAAAAAAAAATTATCACTCCTTCTCCACCGAACAGTAGTATCAATCGTTGAAATTTTAGTTCGATGGCACCAAATGCCCCTCCTTGTGGATGACTGACCAGTGAGTACTCTTTTTTTTTTTTGCAGTATCAGCTTGGAACGGATCCTTTTCAGAATCTCATGCTTCCAATGCAAAACAATCTTGATGCAGCTGATGTCAGTTCGACCAACTGTGGGAAAATCAGACACGTGTACTTGAAAAACTTGGCCTCCTTCTTCCAGCAAAAATTCCGTGTCAGGTAGCCTTTGACGAGGGAATTGGATTTCTTTTGTTTACTACAACCGATCTCATGTCGAATTGTTGGTACAGTAGAGCCTTAATTATCAGCCCCAGTGAAGTGAGTGTCCTGTCCAAACCAAATCATGAAAAATCCAGATGAATGATATAGTCATGATAATTGGAAAATTATTTTAAAAAATATTTCAAAACCAGAAAAGTGCGAAGATTTATATTTAGTTGCATATTTAAATAAAACTCTTTCTCCCCTTACCTTCTTATGGTTCAATGGGGGATGATGGGGTTGATGAGATTTACATTTAGTTGCATATTTAAATAAAACTCTTTCTCCCCTTACCTTCTTATGGTTCAATGGGGAATGATGGGGTTGATGAGATTTACATTTAGTTGCATATTTAAATAAAACTCTTTCTCCCCTTACCTTCTTATGGTTCATGGTTCTTATGGATGAGTTTCAATGGGGTCTGTTGTCTATCCTCTTCAACAGTTGCATGCAACTCAATGGGTGACTCATCTGCAACTGATGTAGAAGATGATTAGCTTACCCCACCAAAACCCACCTGCATTTAACTATAAATCAATGAGGGAAGTAAGAAGTTTTTGACGTCTGTTACTTAATGTAATTATTCATGATTCCTGCACTTCGATAATCCAGATTGAGTTTTAAGTGCGTTTTCTCTCTATATTCATCAAAACAAAGCTAGCTTTATTAATGCATTGCGATGTCATCCAACAAACCATTTCTCTGGCCTGGATGTTGATTTTTTACCAAACATCCATTCCGCAAAAATTATAGCTTCACATCAGGAATTGGTGCCAAAAAACGCTGAAAAATGGGGCTGAATAATCAAGGCTCTACTGTAGGTCGAAAATATTTTTATTGACTTGTTATCTTCACTTTTCAGTTCTTTTTAATCTTTTTAGACGCAAAATAAAAAAGAACTCTTTCATTTGCCACTGAAAGTGGATTCTCATTTGTGTGTACAGGTCCTTAGGTTGCAGTTGTAAAAAATGCAATGTCTAAGTTTTCTGAAGTCTTTCATCTATGAGGCACTTTGTGTGAGGGGAACCACAGGGTTTAAAAATCTTCCAAATGTAGCTGTGAAAATGTTTTTTTTATTGTAATAACAATACCTTGTAATATTGTAAATTTTTGCGCAAAATATTCACGCAACATGCCTTTGCAACGTCCAGTTTTTGAGTCTGTATTTTTCTAGTCTAATTGTAGCATACGTACAATACTGAACATTTATATTTTTTTATCTTGTTGTAGTTGCAATTATGTCATTGACAATGGCAATAGATTTTCTCCTAGTTATTGGATATTGAACAGCACTCACAAAAATACTATTTTAAAATTAAGCCTGCCTGACTCAACCACAGCTTGGCTTTCTAGATGTACATAATGTGAACCTATCATGCGTAATCATTGAATTGTTGATCAACAACTTTTTCTTGAACTAAATATTTTATAGGAAGATTTTGAGCACCATAACTAATACCACTTTTTCCATACTGTATCTGTAATGTTAATCAAAGTGCAAACAATTTGAATTTAGTGGTTCACTGCTTCCCCCCCCCCCCCCCCNAATCTCCAGTTTATACAAGTAGAGCAGTATGAACTGGCCATTATATTATTAATGCAATTAGAGTTAACAAATAAAGTTTTCGAACTTGATTCGTTAAAATATAAGTGAAATAAAACTCACTTGCAAAATCAAAATTTTAAAAAGTCTGGCACTTAGAGTTGCACTATTGATGGACTCTAACTGGAAACGTGCATGGCTTTTTAAAATGTTGACAGCATAAGTTAGTTTCCATTTGTTTTCATGTAAACCTTTTTTAATGTATATAATTCTGTCTGCTGTGGGTAGGTGAAAAAACCCAGAAAAATTTAAATATTAACGTAGAACTTTTCTGGAAGCTTGGGAGATTTTGATTCATTTGCACCCACAGTTTATCTTCACAAACATGCCAGTGCTGTTTGTCAAGTGGAAAATGACTTTTTTAATGAAACACCTCAAGTGCACCTAGAGATCACCTGAAGGTTCACTCAATTTCTTTGTAGTTCCTAAGTCAGTTCGTATATTTAGCCAATCTGTTAAATGATGCTGAAGAAAGATGTATCCATTATGATTTATTTATTGTTTCTCTCACATCCTGCGAGGTGCTTGACTCACAAATCTAATTCCCTAAGTGTATAAGTGTGCCTGCATGGGACTCGACTGACCTATCGCATACCCTTCCACCTTATCCTAATCCATCAACTGAGACAAATTTTTAACAATCTACTTAATGTCTTTATCCTTTTGATTTGTAACCTTAAGAAAACTGAAAAGTTATTTTTTTCTCTGACCATCGTTCTGTATTTCTCAAACATGCAATCTCTTCGTAGTTTAGACTTCGCTAATTTTAGCTGTTGGAACTCTTCAGTATACAAACCGTCAGTGTGTTTTGTATGCTTTTTGGTGCAATATGATCCTGTCACTAGCATAATTCAAATAACTTATGATTAATGACTTCTCAAAGATAGTGTTTCTTGTTCATCAGGTGCCTATGCTATGTTTTGCCCATTAGTTAAAACTCCCAATCCTAATTGGCACCCACAGATTTCACCTCATATTGTTTGTTAAATGAGTGATATTTGCAATGAAATTTCCACAGACTGGTAAAATAGTTGTAAATTGGTGGCTTGAATGGACCATGTTTAACAGAAAGGAACCAAGCCATATCAGCTATTGCCAAATTTAACTGGGCGGTTGAATTTTTTACGAGAGAACATTTCTGTGGATTCCTTTGAAAATTTTGAGGAATTTGCTTCGTACTATGGAGAAAATTCGCTGAAATTTGCATGAAAATCGGCACAACCGTTTTCATGTAAAAAATTGAATTGCCAAATTAAATTTAGCAATAGCTGATGTGGCTTGGTTCCTTACTGTTTAATGCAGTCCAAATAGCACTTGGATAAAACATCAAACTTTTTGCTAGGAGAAACCAATTTAAGAAGTCCGTTCGACCCCTCAGAAAATTTTCAAGGCTCTCAAAGGCTGAATCCTCAATCCACAGATTTTAGAATGGAGATCAGAAATTGTTTCCATGATAAACTTGGAACAATTTTATAGAACTATTTTTTTAAGAGTGCATGACTCTCCCATGAAATTTGTGGGGAACTACATTGTATGCAATGCACTTCTAGGGACAAATGTTTGCTTTCCTCTGTCACAAAGTAACTAATTATTTGGAACAAATTTGATGATGCTAGAAATTACAGTTACTTGGCTCTGATTTTCGTGCAATCTCTATCGGTTGAATATAATTTTTGTTTAAAGATAATGTTAAAAGATCTGTTTTTTATTAAAGATCATATGTTTAAAGTTTATGTTTTAAGATCTTTCTGGGAATGTTTATCCGTTCATTCTTTAATTGTTATTTACTGAGCTGTCTTTATAATAAAAGCTTCTCTCAAATTCTTTTATTTATTTACTTACCTCTGGGGAAACTTGATTTCTGTTACGTCAATAAGTACTTCTTTTTAATTATCGAAACCACCGAAAATGTTGTGAACCAATTATCTCCTCAATTGCTATGGTGGTTTATAATTCATGTTCCATTCCATACAAATGGTGGCTAACTTACCATATTTTTCAATGAGAGAATCACCTGCAATCTACATTTGTGTTTTTATGTATTTTGACTGGCGATTTGATTACTAAAGATATAATTACACTGCAGTATTTTTCCACCTTCCCTTCTTAGTACTGTTATGTGGTTCTTTCTAGCTAAGCAAAGTCATACCTTACCATTCATTTACAAATAAAGTAAATGATAAGAGTGAGGATCTTCTTAAAAAAATTTAATTTTACAATGAAAAAAGATGTAGGATACTGTACAGTTGTTTAACAACTTATCACAAATTAGGGGGATCATACAATCATATTTGTGGTGAGGACAAAATTTTTGATTTAAAATAATTGAGAGGTGTTTCAGGAAGAGAGCACTAAGATCTTACAATAATTCTGTTAAAATTGAAACGCTTACAAAATAATTATTTTTATGAAAATTCAAGGGATAATACTAAAAATATTCAGAGAATACAAAACAAGACAGCTTTTGAATCACTCAGTTGCCAAGATATACTAAGTTATACGTACAGTTTGTGGTTCGTGAACTTTTTAGCAGAGAAACTTTTCAAGTATAAAATTACGCAGGTACAGAGAGACTTCAACAATGAAATGTACAGTTTTAAGGAAAATATTCAGAGGAAAAATATATTTTTACAACATGCATTAGGCCTAAAGAGGGCACTTTCCAAAGGAGATTAGTTAAGAAAACATTGAAATCCAACATTGGCTGAAAGAGTCATACCACCATTTGATTTTATCAGATCGATTTTAGTTTTTTTTTTTATGTTATTTTGAGCGGTTAATTTTTCGTTGTTTGCTGCGTTTCGTTGTTCGAGAGCGGTTCAAAGTTTGAGGTCAGAAAAATTTAGTTTCACTTTTATAAAAGTTTTACCTTCCACTCTCGCTGTGTACTTACGATATTTGTACGCTGATATAGGATGGATGAAAACCGACAAAATTGATCCTGATTTCTGTTTTACATACACGCTTGCAAAGGAAATCCAATGAAGTTTTTCTGCAGTTTGTCTCACAGAGCAAATATGCATGTACAGAGACCTTACAAACTGTAAGAGAGAACACTTAAACTTTTCCATTTGATGCCTCAACTTTGGCATCCAGGGCTTCAAAGTCAAAACCACTTTCATCCCACAAATCGTCTCCAGTGTCCATTTTATTGGGATCTTTATTTTCTCCTTTAGCACCTGAAAAAATAAAGTAATTATTTAAACACTGCAAGAGCAATAAAAAAAATTAGATACTAGTGGTAGTCAATTTTCATTCAGTGTTACCATTTGTGAAATTCATTACTTTTTTTGATAACCATATTGATGGAGACAAAAAAATCGTAGCAGGTTAATTGAAACAGAGAGAATAAAGTTGGTATCTCTTCAAGGATCGTGACAAGCATCAGGCAAATCTTGTGTCAAGAAGCAGTCTTTGCAAGATATAACTTGGGGAGGGGGGGGGGTGAAATAGGCCATTTTTTGTAAGGAAAAAGGAGATCTAGCCATGGGGCAGAACACTAAATAACGAGAAATGGTCAGTTCATTGGAACTTCTTACATCTCAGCTGATTCTCCACCATGCTATACAAACTTAAATCTTTGATGCTGTACTAATTTTTAATTCTCATGACCCAATTTTCCTCTGCTGCGAATGGGTCAGTTGTGTTATTTATCGAATGGTTTGGATAATTTTGATGGTGTGAGCTTATGAAATAGCAAAAAATAACAGGATCCATTCAAATATCTCCAATATTATTGGAGATGTCACCCTTTGAAAAACACGGTGTACACAGTTATCCACCTTGGAAGTATAAACCATGGTTTCTTTCACCTTAAATTCATTAATTATTTATCCACACATGTGCTTGATGTAAAACGTGGATGAAATCACCGAGAAGGAAGAAACCAATGTATGCACCACCGCAGTAGATGATATCATACGCCATTTTTTTGAACAGCGATATCTTGGTTAATATTGAACATGCTGTAAGAACAAACCTTGTTTATTGTTTTTGCCGATCTATAATCTGAAATCATCAAAACTTGATTATATGACAAGCGCAACTGACCCATTTTATGATACTACATTTTCCAGATACCCAACATTATTTTCATATTTTTCTTTATGAACTTCGAATTTTCAAACGAGCTAAAGTCCTCACTCCTGTAAAGTTTTATTTTAAACATAAATATTTTAAAGGAAATAGCTTCATATTGAGACATTATTACAATAATGTACCTTTTTGATTAGCGGTAGTTTGTGCAATTGCAACATTTCCTGCTGGCGTTTTTACACTTTCACTGAAATACTGATTAGGGTGTCTGATGGCGTCCAACAACTCTCTCCCATGTTTGAGTTCGAAATACTTGGTGCACGCCATCTGGTAATTGTTCTTGCTCACCAACTCCATCATTTCACTTATATCTGAAATATTCCATTAATTAAAAAGTTGAAAAAATTTTGTCAATTAGAATTTTAGTTCCAGATATTCGTAAAAAAAAAAGTCAAGTTCTGTGCGAACATATCTGCAACTGATAAAAATCTTTTCAAGTTTTTCAGTTTTTCATTCAGACTTATAAGAGAAGTAGCAAAAGTTACACAAATTCATACAAAATTTGAGAATTTTTTCCTCATGATGTTTCCGTCACTGTTTGATAGATTGATAAGCTACTTTGGTATTGAATAGAAACAAAGCGACTTCTTGAACTCGATGTACTTTTTAAGCCACAAACTCCAAGCCGTCCTGGCTATGGTTAAATTGGGCATTTATGTTAGTTTAATGTACCAGAATTTTGCCACGCTTTCCTCAGTGCTCTAGTAAGAACATCTAATTCAATACTGTAACTTTGAGTTTTTGTGGAGTACGGTTCGTTTATCTGTGAATGGCCACAAATGGGATGAACAGGTTTAAAATGAGATGAAAGAGGAAAGTAATTCATACCAGCTGAGGAGACACCATTCGTTTGCAATAAAGATTTCAATGAGGCTTGATCATTGTGCCTAAAAGGACATCCATGTTGGTCACCCGCTCCGACAGAACTCATTATAATTTTGTTACAACTGTATGGGGTGTAGTTAGTTCGTTTGCCCTCTTGTCCGTAGTTGTGCCTGATGTTGTAGGCATAATTTTTGTCAAACTGTGGGTAAAAATGAGAAGAAGCATTTTTATATAATTGGACATTTTTTCAAATCAAAATTTTGATTCACAAATTGTGCAAACCTGCAAAATTCAAGGACTAAATTTCGAAGCATTTTACCGAATTTGCAAAGAATTTATTGGACATTTCAGGACATTATCCAGACCTTGGTTGCAATAATTTGTTCTTTGAAAAGCCACTTAGGTTGTTGGACATGCAAGACTTGAAAAATTCACCAGAGGATTAGCTAATATTGAGTGCAGTACGGTAGCCCAAATGATTATTTATAACTACAGTTAAAAGAGGAAATTGCAAAATACATAGCACAACTTTTCCTACAAAAATAATGAGAAAAAGACAAGCGACTTAAGTATGATTGAAAAATTGCAATTCTTAGGAATTGTACTCGAAATGAACTTGTTCAGCAATTTTTAATAATTGCTTTTTCGACAGGCAGAGAATGCACTTGAATAAGTGCATTCAAATGTGGAATCACAGGAATTTTCCTGGATTCAATGCTTTGAGGACACGTTTAAAGTTTCATATTATAAGCCTCCATTTAGACACATATCAGGAAAAAATTCAAAATCACATCTAAAAATGTACGTCCCAGAACAGGCACACTTCCAACTGTACAACCTTTCTGCTGCAATCAATAATCATTGCAGTTTTCTATCGATTATGGTCACACAGGCTATAAACTACAGCGGAAGGATTGTGCGGTCGCAAGTGTACCCATGCCAAGATGGATATTTTTGGACACCTTCTATGCTTTCTGGGCGATGCATGTTTAAACAGACGCTCAAAATACGCAACTTAAAAATTGTTTTCAAGGTTTGTCAGGGTTTAAAATAATCTGGGGAAATTTATGAGAGCTAAGTGCATTTACTTATTTTCATAATGCAAGCAAAAAAACTCATTCTGATATTAAAGGCCCTTCAAATTTTTTCATGACTTCTCCCATACTTCAAGTTCTCTTAAAAATTAGAAAATGAGAAAAGCAAATCAAAGATGCTTGAAGACTTGTAACCGCTGTTTAAATCCTATTAGATGAGGGTAAGTATTATAGAACTTAACAGTTACCTTATCCACGTCCATTTTTTTCGTAAACTCCGAACGCCAAAAAGTCATAGCATCTTCGAGCGATAGTCCGATACCTTTCAAAAATAAACTATATTGCTGTCTAGCTCCATGACGCAAGTGGTGCTCGGAGCGCAAAGTTCTATGCAACTGTTGCATGCACAATGGGAATGATTTCCGCGATAACTGTATAGAAACAAATAATTAAGATGGAATTAATTTTGACCCCAAAATATATTACTCCTTTAAAAATTGGTACCTACTTGAAGAAATTCTCCAAATTTCATTCTTTTAAGATCGTATGAATTTTAATTTGTTTAAATTATCAGGCAATTTAATTGTTCATGGGATACAAAATTTATTGCATTCTATTATTTTGTCACCCTGAGCATTAATTACATTACTTGGAGATTTGATTGCAGATTTGTACGTATAATAATTAGTTGCAATACATTGATGAATCAGATGAGTGCTCTGACCTTATTAAAGGCTATTGGTAATGTGAGCTACTAAATTGCTGTTGATGTCAAAAAATGAAATCTTTTAGTCAAATTCAGTTTTTAGAATTCGGTGCAAGACTTTTGGATTATGGTGTATGCTGAAACTATCGCTATCTACAAATCTGTGAGACATCATTGGCATCCTTTTAGTGTATTTTCACTCACAAGGAAAGATACACCATTGCGTTCTCCCTCATGGTGGGACCTAGACCTGGGACCATGTAAAGAGCACTGATCTCGAGTCGTAGATCACGAATATATATGTCATTCATTTTCTGTCATATATATATGTATGTATTTCAGCCAGCGTGAGGATTTTTCAGTTTTCAGAGCATTGAGCGGCAGTTAATTTTTAAGTTTCTTGAAACGAAACTTCTGGGGTTTATAGTCCCCTAAGAGTACTTTTAAACTGTGAAGAAAAAATCGGATTACGTTAATTACTTTTCGCACAGCGAGGGGTCAAATTGTGGGGAGGTTTAATTTTGTCCATGCGATAACTCGAGTAAAAATGAATATTTTGAGCTGAAATTTTGATGGTAGTTAGATATCTACTAAGACTGGTTTCCTATTGAATTTCAGCGAAATCGGCCGACGCGTTTCATGATAGTGGCAATTTACCGTTTTTACGGGTGAGGGGGGGGGGGTAGGAGTTGCGCAGCCAAGGGGAACTGTTTCTTGAAACATATCTGTGGCAAGAGGGGTAGGGTAAATGATTTCATTCCCCAATGTGACACTATCCTTCGGAAAATACACTCATGCCGCGGTAAATGCCGTGACACTATCCTTCGGAAAATACACTCATGCCGCGGTAAATGCGCGGACTACTAAAAGAACCGTCCCCTACTTGCCGGCAACCCTACGGAAAACCCCACGGCACCCCACCTGCTTGCGACAGGGTTTTTTTAGAATGCAATAGCGTGTAAAAATTTCTAGCCAAAAGGCTGGAGGCTAGGTTAGGCTTGGATTATGAACTCTGAAGCTCTACACTGAAAATTGACCTTGCTTGTCATGGTGGCACCTATAATTTTCGGGAAAGGATGGAACTCTACTCCTAGGGTTTTTTGAGCGTAGACCTTGGTTACAATTCAAGAGAAGTTGGGGTACTTAAATGCTAAACTTACAGCTTCAAGACTTTCAAGTGAGATTTGATCCGTTGAGGTAGTTTTCGCGTACGACTCTCCAGCATAAGCATTGTGTAAATTATGTAAAGTGGGATGAAGTCTAGTATCATCATCAATATTGTCTATTTTCCGAGCTGCAATCTGTAAAAATGAATGAGGACCCATTGAATTGATAAATGGAATTGATTAGGGGGAATTGAATGTGTAGCTGCCTGAATCAGAATCTGATCTTCAAAAATTTGTTAATCTAAGAACAGAGCTTTACATTTTCATGTAAAATGAAAATTTTTTAAAGTGACTTCATCTATTGAATTGAACAAATAGATTTAATACGTTACCTTCTTATATCAGATAGATTATCCCAATATCAGATTTTATCAGATATTCAGAAGTGTTTTTAAGCTTAATCATCGACAAACAGCCACATTAAATAGTTGATTAAGGGAAAAAGGGTTCAGATACTCACGCTCAAACAATGGGCCAAGTGACTGCGAAAGTGACTGGTGAGAACCGAGATAATTTCTGAAGAAGTTATAAAGGCAAAGCCATCCATTAGAAAAACTTTGCGACTTCTTACAAGATCACAAACTTCTGACCAGTGCACCTTGTAGTAATCAGTGTTATGCTTTACCAATCCCTTTGATTTCATTATCGCCTCGTTCCGGTCTTCATCTGAAATCTAATTAGGAACAAATTAAGTTTATATCCTGTGGAGAAATAATTGAAGGGTCAATAGTAATTTTTATTAGTAATTCTTTATACAATGGACTAAAGCAGACAGCTTTCTTCATTCAAAATTGATATAGCTTTATCCGTAACTTTTTCTTGCAAAGTCAACTAGGCAAACCGTAAAGCTGCAATAAGCAATCAGTTTAAAAACATTGGCTGAGGGCTCAGGGATCCTTTCCTTGAGAATTTATTTAAAAATCAACTACATAATTTCATGAAAACTTTTGAGTCACCTAGAACCAACCTTTTCAAAAGATTGCAAAAATGACCTTGCCAATTTCAATGGATGTGGGATTCAAAACACGAATCTCTGATTATAATGGAGTAAAGTATTAAACTAATTATTTATGATTACAATTTTTCAAAAAGTAGTGTGAATATTTTCAGATATTTTAATTATTTACACAACTTTTAACTCAAGAAAGTACAATGGGTTAGGCTAAAAATGATAAATTTAAATTTTCACATTTAGTAATTTTTTTTCTCTCCTTACAAGTGAAAGGAGTGCTTTGGTCATGAGGATTTTTATCATTTGAGGTACAGCAAAGATATAAATTTCAGATCACTCATCTCTTTTCATAAGATTCTGTTGAGAAAATGTGCATGATTTGAGATAGAAGAATTCAATATGTACTTTAAATATCAGAAATAACCGTGGATTCCCAAATTATTTTTTGTTCATTGACGGTGTAAGTCGGTAATCACATAACTCGTTTGCGGTGTCTGAAAATCTCCGCCTCTATGTTACTACTTTAAAGGAGAACAAATTGACATCATTCCTTGAAGTTTATGCAGAATTTTTTTGCATAGAGAAGAAAACTCACGGCTGCTTTAAAGAATTGCCGCTGAGTAGTTTACCGTTTAAAAAATAAAGTATGACAGGAAGTCTGCGACGTTGCAAACAGAGTTATGTGATTACCGACTTACACCGTCGATATAAACTTTGCAAACGCCTCTTAAAAAATGCAGAGCCTAGACCTATTTGCAATCTTGACTAGGGATGCTAAATTGCCTTACTGATCCATTCTCTTCACAGAAAAGAGATATAACAGAGTGACCAACTAGTGAAACTCCAACTTTTGAGATAATTATTGGCTAGCTCTTTCCAATGATTGTTCATTTGCCAGTCAGTGGTTATTACTTATCAATCCGTATTCAAAGGTTTTTCTGCAGCTATTTCAAGACTAAAAGGATTATTCAGTAATATCCCAATCAATTAGAATATAGCTGATTGTAGGCCAGACTATGGTACATACAAAATTCTTAAGGGGATAGAAGTCTGGATCATTGAAAATGTCCAGCCCATATATGCCTCTGAGTGTTGACTGAATGGTGAATGGAAATAAAATAGTACAAAATGCTGATGGAAGCAAAATCTCCTCATTGATCATGGCAGAGTGTAAGTGCATACAATATTTTAATATAAGGATTATACATACCACAGAATAGTCAAGATTGTTAAGTTCGAGGAACTGTTTCCTTTTGGCAGGGGCTAGACAATGCCATCTCAGTTTGAAAAGATCTAGTTCGCGGAGTAATAACCATCTTCTCAAATCTTCTGTGCGGCAGTAGACCAGCCTTAAAATGAAGTGGGAGGCAATATCTTCCCTCCTCATCAGAATATCATCTTCAGAATCACCAAGGTTGCCTTGAATCTAGGTTAAAAAAAACAAAATAACAAATAATTTTTCAACTATACGCTGATAACTGGTTTCTTGTCCTTACCACTGCTTAAAAGTCACCCCAATATCTTGAGGGTCATTTGGCTCAGAAAATTATATTTACCTCAACTAACAAGCAATATTTAATTCTGCATCATTTGATACAAATAGCACAAAAAATACTACAAATTGACTCATAGTGAGCATTCGAAAGATACATAAGGCTGAAGCCCAAATTTGAGAAAAAGGCAGTTAAAGTTTGCCGATGCTGTTGCCAGCTTCGAAAATGATTCTTTTCAAACTATGGAAACAATACTCATAATGCAAATTTCAGCTTGAACTTTTAACTCATTGTTCTTACAATTTCTGGGAAGTGTTTAGCATCAATAACTAGACTGGAGACCAATAATTTGGCTCCCTGACGATTTTTTGCTGTACCTACTGAGCAGTTGGAACTTTTACCTAAAGAAGCATTTCTACTCTTTAATTCACTGGGCAAGTTTTAATTTTTTTCAAACCATCAATGAAAAGCCTAAGAAACAGTGAATAAAATACTCACAGACTTAGGTACCTAGGTATATCTTTAGTTAGTTTGCGGTAGGCTATCCGAATGGCTTGGTTAAAAATAGTAAAAAAGAGGAAAAATTTTCTCATAGTTATTTGAATTTTTGCAGCTTACGAAAAATTAAGTGTTGACATGTTTGATAGTTTTACAAGCAAACAAGATGGACTTTCAAACCCAAGAGACATACAGTGCAATAAACATTTAATGCAGGGCACACACAGTTCTCTTGGAGCTGCAGCCTGATTGTTGAAATTTTTGTCGGCACGACAAGAATTGAAAATTGGTTCATTACACAGTGCAGATAGGGCTGTCTTGTCTTATCTTGCCGACATAGCCAGTTAAAGTTTCAACAATCAGGCTGTTGGCAATTTCTGATAGCTGACAGCAGAAGCCTTATTGGAGCGTACAAGTATTTTAGAATATAGTACACCGATACCTTATCAACAAGACTGAAGCATTTGCCAAATTTAACATTGCAAATATTCGTTGATAGGAATATTCACTTTCAGCATTGCATATTACAGTAGTAATAGATTAATTCATTCACCTCCATGTTATTTTATGAAATTTAGATTGATTAATTGCCTCCCTTGAAATATTTATTTTAACAAGTGAAAGGTTGTTAGTTTAAGATCATGCTCAATTATTGGGTTTCATCAACAGTAAAATCTTCAGGCAAAACTGGTTTTAAGAGAGATCTTCGACAGAGATATTTACTGATGTACTTACAAGTTTGGCGTAACCATTAAGACCTTGTTTTTTCAGCTCAGCGACTAATGCTGTCTTTAACTCATCATTCGTTGAAGCAGTTCTCTTGAGAGTTAGTTGCTCCATGGCTCTTAAAACTGCAAAAATAAATGCAATGAATTAGGAGAAAAACTGAAAGTTGCAAAGAGTGTTCTGAGGATGAACTAAGTTGACATAAAAAATTTAAGTTGCAAAAAATATTAGGATAATTCTTCTAGATGAAGCTGCAGCAAACTGTAATTCAAAGGCACGAAGACAGAATTAAGTAACTGGATGGCAGTCTAGGAAAACATATAAAAGTGAGGACATGTCTCCTGAATATTTTGCTCATGAGAATTATACATAATAGAGGTTAATTGTACTTAATTGAAACGATAGAAATTCATTGCTAAACTTGTGGCCCCCATATCGCAATTTCATAATCCAACATTTCTGTCCGTGTTTTATTTTTATTAAGAGGAAATGAGAAGCTTGACTACTTGAAATTGTTACCAAATTCTTTTTGAATGCAAATGAAAAATCAAGTGAACTTTTCAGGAATTGTATTGCTTAGATCTCTGATTAGGCATGAATAATATTGAAAAATCTGGAACTTTAAAACTCATCGTGCAAGGCTACCAAATTTAGCAGTGAGTATGCTTTCGAGATGCCAATAATTGTTAGATTAACCGGGCACATGCTTCTAGGGATCATCCCCTATTTTTAAATTACCCTTTGTGCAAATAATTATAAAATAAAAACAACATCAGTTGGACCTAATAATGCTAAACAAAACTAGGCACAAATAAAGGAAATCAAAATGAATTATGTAGAAATAACAAATCTATTACTAAGCAATATTACTTCCTTGCTTTCAAGAGCCTTGCTGAAGATGCAGAATTTTTATGAGGCAGCTGTTCATAGAACTGAATAGTGGCTGTGAGATATTAACGGACTGAAAATTTTTCATTTTCATAGCCTTAGAATGAACAACATTTCTGCACTAACCAGTTGTTCTTCTGAACGAATTAAGCTTGCGCTGTCCACTCATGACATCTTAATATCCTTGTTGTACAATTGTCAGGCTGTCTGCCTCCTGTGGTGTAGTGGTTGTAGCGCTAGCCCTATGACCAAGAGGTCCTAGGTTCGATTCCCGGCTAGGTGATCTGAGTTTGATGGTCTCAGGCAATGGTCACCTGGGGCTGGGGTAATAAGCGTGGGATTAGCCAATAGGCTATTTGAAATTGGTTAAAAAAAAAGAATTCTCCAGGGTCCTGCTGGTTGATTTCATGAGAATTACAAGTGCGTAATGAATTACTCACCTTTTAGCCTGTTGATAGCATATTTATCAAAGTCGGTTAAAGATATTTCTTCGGTAGGGGGTGTTTTGTAAAGCTGCAAATCACACGGGTATTGCACCAAGACTTGGGCTTTCTTTGACCTTCTAGTCTTTAAAAAATTCATGATGCTACACTTATGAGGTCTGTAAAGCAGTCACGACGAAGAAGCGAACTGTGCAACTGTAAAAATACACTTTCAAAGTTTTGAAGAGATATCAATTACTTAAAAATAAAAATACTGCAATCTGATATCAAGATCTTAAGCTTGTGCTTGCTTTTGTCTTGTTGATAGATAATAAAATGATAACCTCTTCTCCTCTAATCTTTTCTCTTTTCCCGCTAAAACTTTTGTTTACGTTGTGTTTGTTGAGAAGGTCGAGTACAGATATCTCACCTCTCATCAACCTCGCCATCTTTGAAAAATAAGAAGTTCATTGGCCGATTTGGCAAATGGTCGACTTTGTTTACATTTTCTCCTCGTCTTTGCTTTTGCCGAATGAGCAACACGCGCCTTCCCTTAATGTGATAAAAATTCAATTTTTTCGACGCAGGTAGTTCTGAAGTTACTTGCCCAGTGCTTATATTTTTTATCTATTTTCAGTCATCACTTTTAGTCTAAACACAGGATCCCCCACCACTGTGATCGAGTGATTTCCACCATCTCGATGAGAATCTTAGGGTTTGTTAAAATTTTCAAGGAAATCTAATGGTTATTCCTGGAAAATGTAATTTCACAAGCTTCCAATCACCAAAACCAAGATCACTCTAAGTTTTGTGCAGTGTATTGTTTTGACGAAAATGGCGGCGTGCTGCTCCTGCCTCATCTACGTTCTAACATTGGGCTTAATCTCAACATCGTATTTTGCCATTCACACTTTGAGTTCCCCTGGAAGTGAATCAAGTGAATCAAATGCAATACCAGGTACGTCCATGTGTTGTACTTTCTTTCAAGACTATTGTTTGGTAAACATGCAGAAGATACCGTTTAAAGTAAGGATACTTCTACGGAGATGGGGGTGGTGAAAAGTTGCGACTAAGTCGGTGCTCAATATTATCGAACTCCCGATGGATCTGGTGGTCATGTGCCCTCTTCTCTTCCATGCTAAATGACGTAACTGTGCATTTGCAATGCATTCCATTGCATTTTGTCCGAGGCATTGCATTGCAAGGCTGTGCATTGCATTTTGTCCAAGGAGAGCCAGCCAGCTCTCCTTGGCATCATATGCTATCATTTAAGTCAAATTATGTTCTATCAAAACTCATCAGAGTAAGGCAATCTAAATGTTATTAAGTATTACACTTTTGAGTTATGCTGTTTCAAAGCCATTTAGAATTTACTTGAATTTTGTCCTGACTCATGATGAGAAAGCTTTGTCATGGATTTTATTTACACTCATAGATTTCAGTCGCTTGGATTTATGCTAGTCCATGCTGTCAGATTGAACTAATTGATGTCCTTCTCAAAATATTTATTTGGAGATGCGAAAATCCTAGGTGCCCTCATTAAGTTCTCAGTCTTCTCCCTGAAAAAGCCCTCTTTCCACAAAATTCCCCTTGCATTCTAATGCTATTTTTCCCCATATTTATAATTAATAGTTTAAATAGGAAAAATCCTCACTTATTCAATCACATGCTGTTTGTTAGCAGAAGGTAAATTGAGCGTGAGTCCTCTCATCTTTTGAACTTGAATTGGACTTGTCTTTGCTCCATGGCAAGTTTAAACCTTCCTAGAGGGTGCCATCTGACTCCCTTTGAAGGTGTTCAAATATGGCTCAAAATTTTTCAGGAGTCAAAAATTCCAAAACGCCAGTGTGTCGTCCAGCATTTTCTGCACTCAGGCAATTTGTAGAGTTACCCCAAGAAAAGCACCTTGTTCAAATTTAGGAAGGGGGAGGGGGGTGCAAGGTGTCCCTTTCGACTTCTCCCGGAAAATTCGATGCTGATAAAATATTTGCCGTCCCCATGATTTGATGTTTTTCAACTGCACGCCTCTACATGAAACAACGTGCTTCTTAATGTAGTTCTCTGCCCGAAAATAACACGCTCGAAAGATTTCCAGTTCAATCATGAAACGGCCGGACATCTCATCGTATTCGCGTTTTTACGTTACTTAGTTGTCGGCAAAACTGATCGAGATAGGTCTTAAAAAAATGCCCTCCCCAAATTTCTTAGCTTCTCCCGACTCTCACGCGAGCGGCCACGCAATCAGTTTCCTACCAGATTCCTCGGGGTTTTTTCTTCTTCTTTTTTTCCTAACTCTACGTCGCCATGCCAGTTTTGTACATTAAAGAAAAATATGAAAGGGTTCCCAGGACGACATTGAGTACGAATATTGAAGGAGTCGATTCTTTGGGTCAAAAAAAGACGTTTTTGTGGTATAACTCTTTCTCCAAAAACGCTTTCCCTGGGGCCAGCCCCCCCCCACCCTCTTCGCGCCCACTCGCGCTCCATTCAGTCCCTATTATTTCGAAAACGATGAGTCATAAACGCAAGACACATTTTTCAACGTTCAATCTAGTAGTGCCGTCAAAAGTCAATTTTTATCGCTGGAAATTTTAATTTTGGCCACTTTTAGTTTCGATACCCCCCAAATCCTCCTCAAATTGCGTTGTTCCTAATTTGGAGGTCAAAAATGAAAAAAGCGCTAAAAATCACATTTCGTTTACCAATTTTCATTAATATTGGTCGATAAACATTTTCGCAGTGTTAGAAAGACGATTTTTTTACTCCAACTTTGGGGGGCCGTGGCCCCCAGGGAAAGCGTTCTTGGGGGCAAAAAAAGTTGTACCGCGAAAACGTCTTTTTTTGACCCGAAGAATCGACTCCTTCAATAATCGTACTTAATCCTGGGACACCCTGTATTAGATCTTCCGTGTTGCAGTTTAAGATATGGGTGTTAGTCTGGTTTCATCGGCGATATTTCGTCAGTGGATTCTTTTTCAACGAAATTAGCTCCAGAAAACTTGTCAGGAATAAAAATCTCCCGGCTGAGATGCAATGTTTCGTCATTAAATCCTTCATTTTACGTCGATCACAGAAGAGAATCACCAGTGATCCCTTCCCGAACCGATCTGTGCGGCAAACAAGGAAGATGGACGTTATCTGACGGTGGTCCGCGTTCCCCATCCATTTCGAAGCGGAAGTGCTTGCCATCCGGCCCCTCGCATGGCTCATGCTCCAGGAACAAGTCGATTTTCGATTTTCGATTTCATTCGATGTTTTAGCCGTGAACCTTCAGGGTGTATCGATCCATCGATAGGTATCGTGTTTATTTCGAGGGCTTCGTGAAGTCTGTTATAATTGCTGTATCAGTAAGGAGTCGACTTACATGCTTGTGAATTGCAGGAATCAGCGGTTGACTCCCGGTGGTGCTCAAACTGGGATTCCTTTCGAAAAAAAGCGGTACAGAAACGTGAAGTTTCATCGAGATTATTCATCCCTGTGAAGTCTCACAAAATTTTATCACATTTTTTTTTTAATTCGTGAAAATGTTTGGGTATTTAAGGCAAATCGAGGGCGTAAGTCCGCAATCACATATCTCGTTTGCGGTGTCTGCAAATCTCCGCCTCTATGTTATTACTTTAAAGGAGAACAAATTGGTATCATTCGTTGAAGTTTTTGCAGAATTTTCTCCGCACAGAGATTCCGTTTAAAAAATAAAGTATGGCAGGAAGTCTGCGACGCCGCAAACCGAGTTATGTGACCGCCGATTTGCACCGTCAAAAAGTTCGAAAGTCGAAAGTCCCTTATGGTTCCTCTTTAGTCTCCTTAGTTAGACCAGGTCAATCAGGTCCTAATTACAAGTCAAACTCTCGATTGATTGTGAGGAATCTTGCGTCAAAACTGTTGCAATAATTGGTTCACATTTTGCAAGAAGGAACCTTTATTTCTGGCCCATTTAAGAAACAACATACATGCCATTGGTTTCCCTAAGTAGATGTGTGCTTTTATGGGGGAGCCAGAGATAGTGGTCCCTTATTGCAAAATGCGATCCATTTCATCACTCTAGTTCATTTTGGGTGCAGGTCGCATAATCAGCTCACTTTCAAGATTTCAATCTGAATACTTTAATGTCGCCCGAAAAGAATTTTCACAATCGGAATACATTTTGTCACTAGGTCTCCATTTGCAGCTGATTTTAAGAACAACATTTGAATGGCATTATGCATAAATGAACAGAGTAGAAAAAGATGTCTTTCCGCTTCAAAGTGACCGAGGTTTGGGAAACGGCGCGTGAGTGGGCATAAGAACTCGTTAGCAGGCACGCGGTGATCCAGTGGGAACCAGATCATGGTTCCTTATTGCCAAACGTAAATCTCAGATATCGTTTTTAGCAGAACAGAACCATACGATCATCACGGATCTGTCAGTCATATTTCTTCAACAGCCTCCTTTTAACACGATGGTGCCCAAGTATCTAAGCCAGCAGTTTCCCTATACAGTTGGTTCCTTTATAAAAGAGCTGGAAATAGTGGTTTCGTACTTATTACAAAGTGTAGTCCGAATTAAAGTGATTGAAAAACCCCTATGTTTTGAACAATTAGACTGCATTTTGCAATTTGGACCTATAAATTTCGGCCCGGTTTAAAAACAACGTATGTACCATTAGTTTCCCTATGCACATAAGTGTTTTTTCAGAAGAGCCAGAATTTATAGGTCCAAATTGCAACATGCAGTCCAATTAACGTGAGATTTGATAGAATGGGATTTTTAGATTTTTGTAAAATTTCTTGAGCAATTGTGGAATTTAATTTTCAAAAATAAAGTAGAAAAAAGAAACACAGCGGTGTCTATCCCATTATTTTTCGCTGATCTGCATGGTTTCAATCATGAAGCCATGATTCTCGCACTGATTCTCCTCGCAAATCGTTCGAGGATGCCAAACGAGTGAAAATACAGGGGAAAAATAAGTTCGCCTTCAATGCGATGGTTATGCAATTTGGGGTACTTAGACGTCGGAATAGTTGTATCCTCTATTATTTCGGTCTCTCAGTATTACGTCTAGATTTCCGTTTCATAGAAAACATTGATCGCACTGTTCATTGCGAATCCTGAGGAAAATGGGGGAAGGTGAGCTCTGTTTGATTACCATTGTTTTGAAAGCAGCCATGATTAAAGTACTTAGTCTTTCGCAAATACAAAATTTACCAACGCGACGACCTTTTTTCTTATTTTGTTCTATCTCTCTCATTTTAACCCCTATAGCAGGATTGGAATCGATTTGGGTCGACTACGGTCGTTCGAAGACTTTCGCCGTTTCTCGTGACGAAACCTTCGGTCTGCGTTTTCTTATTTTGCGTTCTTCTCTCGGATTCTTTTCTCACGAAAGCCATTTTCTCGCCCCCGATGACCTATTTCGATTACGAAGCATTTTCAGTGCCGTCTCCGTTCGGCCAGACTGTGGTTCCTGGTATGTATTGTCATTTGTTTCCATCCTGGCAAACCGGGAATAGCGCACAGTGAAAAATTTTAGCTCCGCTCCAATCTCTGCTGTACTGCCGTGCTAAGGAAAATCGCCGTATTCATTATATGACGGATCTCAATCTTTAAAAATTAATTATATCATCAGAGCTGGCATAATTTTTTTTTATTATTTCAGAAATTTGATGTTTTGTTTCGTTTTTCTGGACATACCTTTATTATAGGCTAAGGCTTGATATGAGGATAGGATCAATTTGACCCCCCCCCCCCAAAATCAGCAGGCGTTGCCAAATTTACTTTATATAAAACACATTTTCGAGAAAACTTATGATTATTTTTCTCCCAGTTTTTCAGATTATTTTGTTCGCAACTTCACCTAAATTTCCTGAAGATTTCTAGGAAAAGTATTCATAAATCTCCTTGAAAAACATATTTTATCGGAGAAAATGTGGCAACTCTCGAATGTTCATACGGCGTTTTTCCTTCGCACGGCAGTGTAGC